CTATATGGAAGTGGTGCAACTACCAGAACTAATATCCATTACATGTTGGTATCTCTGGTGGCAGAGGAGAGTTATTGTGCGGGAAGAAGAGGTCCAACCACTGATTCAAACTGGTCAAGCAGTTTGGGCTCTGACCCTCAATTTTGTTCGTGCTTTGAGTAAATCGACAGGGCCCCCACAGGTGGGCAGATGGTATAAACCACTCCAAAACCAGCCGACTCCTAATGTGGATGCTTCTTTCTCTGAAGAAGACCACACGGGGGCTGGTGGAGCGATACTAAGAGATACCACATGCACTTTCATTGGCGTGCTGACAGCAAAGTTTGATCATGTGCCAGATATGGTCTCAGCGGAAGTGGCTGCCTTAGCAGAGGGCCTGAGACTTGCATCAAATATGGGTTGCACATCTATTCGCATACAATCGGATTGCTTGGTTTTGATACAAACATTGCAGAAGAATGAATGACACTCCATGGTCGCTGCTCCACTATTGGATACATGTCGTTTATCACTCTTAGATTTCGGGAAGGTTGTTTTAGAGCATTGTAATAGAGAGGCTAATAAAGTAGCTCATGTGCTAGCACAAAATGGTTGCGTTGATCCACCGAATCTGTGGTTGGACTCACCTTCGGGCTTTATTTTTGAATCAATTAGCGGACGATATAAGCGTTGTTTAAATTTTAACTAGTAAGCTTGCACATGCAATGCACGTCTCAGCTACAATACATTAATTTTAGGCAAACGATTCTGCCCAGCCGGCTGGCAGAGCCAGCCTGCCAGCCGGTCGCACGCGTAGCCGTTGGATCATGAAAGATTGTGTGTGTCCCCTCGTCGTCCAATTCACCATCTCTCTCGTCCTCTTGTTTTGCTCACTCTCACCTCTTATCCTCATGCTGCTCACCCGTTCCCCTCCCCTAGCTCCACAACTCCCCTGGGAGCTGTAAGTAGGCAAGTAAGGGTGAGGTATACAGAGGCGGAAGCGAAGGAAAGGCAGGGGACACATGGGGAGGCGGAACGCGGAGGCAGTGGCAGAGTCAATCACGTGCGTGGGGTGTTGGTGGACGAAACAAGGACGTGAAATTCAATAGTTGTAATCGTTGAAATCGGGCGGCTATGAGGCGACCGGCCCAAATTTGGGCCGGTGAGCCGGCGCCTAGCTCGGCCTTAGTTCTATCATAAAATAGACCTACATTTTTGAAAAATTTAATTCTCATGCAAAGTACGTATAATTCCTAATTACGGAGACATAAAAATGACTGGAAATATTGTGTTTAGGAATTAAGATTCCTCGTCCATTGCTTAGCAACTATGGAGAGCATTGACTTGACTAATTGGTAGAGTATCAATTCCATGTTTCAGCATGGAGTATATGGCATCATAAACTACAAGCCAATCTATCTAGATCCCAGACTGAAATTCAAGTACATACTAATGTTTTACATAGGCGAATCAAGGAACATAATCCAAATACAAGTGCTTGTTATGCTCTAGCTATAAACTGTAGACTAAAAGTATATGATCTGCATGTCATAAAAAGTACTGCCTCCGATCCATATTACTTGTCGCTGAAACGAATGTATCTAGACATTTTTCATTGTTGGATACATCTGTTTGAGCTACAACTAATTACTTGTTGCTGAAACGGATGTATCTAGACGTATTTCATTGCTCGATACATCTGTTTGAGCTACAACTAATTTGTATTGGAGGCAGTACATGATCTGAAGATATGGACTACAAACTGATTGAGAATGACACTTGAACAAAGACAGAATGGGAACCAAAGGGTTTACCTTGATGGAAAAGTTAGTCAAAGAACATGAATTTGGTTGAGCGCAAGATGGTTCCTAGCCTGGACAAGAAGAAATCAAAGGAGAAAAAAATGTGTTTTCTCGGCTGAGCTATCCATTTAAATTTTATTACACTTTTGTAAGTGTTGCAACTAAAATGCATGAAGGTGGCTAAAATTGGGAAGCAAACCTTTTGATAGCTCTCGACAAATAAATATCACTCCACAGATGAGAGGTTTACAAATTCTGCAATTGACAGAGATAGACTAGGCATTCAGTCATTCACCAACATCATCATGAAAATCCTTTACAGCCATTGACTCTGTTAAGCTGACCAGGTAGTTGAACTTGAGAAAAGCACAATATTTATGAAACCAGATTTAAAATGTGCAGAGTAAAAGATTATTAAATCATGCTTTGCATCATCACATCAGAATCTTCTGTAGTACCTTATGAATATGCAATGTGTAAAAATAATGAAACATGTGAGAATACAGTTGCAAGTAATTTTACTTGAACAGAAATAAAGATCCCTAACTTGTACTATGGTTCCAAACATATAATTACGAAAGAGGAAGATTTTGGCCCAATCCTCCACCTCTCATGCCAAATTGATTCGGCTAGGAGTTGAAGTACTGTATCGCTAGCACAATCAAAAGGTAATACCAATTTTTGAACTATAGAGTCAGAGTGCTAAATCACAAATTAGTGCATGCCTGCTGCTGAACTCCGCGTGTTTCTTCACGGAGCATTGTGGCAGCTTTCTATCTCCATGGTGCTTCCCAAGCCTCAGCTTTGAGGTCTGTACATGGAAAGTGAAGGAAGAACTAGAGGTAAAGAAATCAAAAGGATAAATAGTTCACTTGGGCTTGGGCGTGACGATGGCATGGCCATGGAGAAGAGACCTAGCAATAGACCCTAAAAATCCCATATATTTACATGAAAACAGGACCTGTCAAGAAATGAACTGACACCATAATATTTTGAACTAAAATCAAAAATCATTTCCCTTTCTTGGCTAAGTGAAAGGAAGCTTCTATATAAAACAGTTGTTTCACCAAATAACTAATATCATCAAGAAACCTTTCTTTCTATCGTGTTTCACATGCATACGTGATGCATAGCAGTGCACCATTACATAAGAACCAGAGCATGAATTTACACGACTCCATTACTCTTCAGATGTAGGCAATGGCTCCTATAAGTGTGCAATTCCTACAACGCAGTTTTTTGATAGAACCTCGTCAGAGGGACAGGTGCTCCGGCTTTGCATTATAGAATAAGAGAGGTGATCCGGTTTATGAGGAAAACCGGATCGAAAACCTAACAGAGTGCCCCAGTTCATGAGGAAAACCAGACAAAAAAAACTGCACACGCAATGAACCCTTGCCGACCACACGACCCAAGGCAACATTGCAACAAACACACACCCCCGACTCCGGAGCTGCCGCTCCGACATCCCCCGCCCACATGAGAGCCACAAAGCCGCGCAGTTCAGTTGCCTCATCGCCCTTGCTACATGAGACGACCGCCCGCAGACCACGAACGTTGTACCAAACATCCAGGGCCGTCGCCCCAACTTCTAGCCAGACTGACCCCACAGATCGCGTCGACCGAGCCGACGAACTGGCCACCCTCGCAACACCAGGTCGCCACCCATGCCAAGCAAAATAGCGGACCTACCCCATAGGACCGTCGTTGCATGACCATCCGAGGCCGCCGCCTCGGCATACATCCACCATCCGGATCCACCGCTCCGGCATCCACCGTCTTGGCATACCACCAGAAGCACAAAAGCCACAAGCACCAATCGAACCTCGTCTCCAAAGATGGCGCCTCCAAAACGACGTCCAAGAAGATGTCGCCGCCATCCGATCCAGCAAACTAAATCTAGGTTTTCACCCGGAAGACGAGGTTCCTTTGGTTGGAGGCGGATTCCTACAATGCAGTTATATTCTAGACAAGGTCCTGATAAAGAACTTGAACACTACCTGAATCAAAAGGCGCTAATGATTAAAAATATAAGGTGCTAGTGAAGTAAAATAATAGAAGGTGCTAATGATTTATTGTTTCTGAACTAAAATGCAAAATTTGAAACAACCGTTTTCAGTCGAGCATTGACGCAAACACTTATTGAGCACACATACAACACATCTGATTACCTGAGTGAACACGCACGCACAACACACATGTCGGCCAGCCGGGCGCACATGCCCTTAGTTATCCATCCAACACGCATACCACGTCGGCAGCATCATGCACGCACAAGCCAGAATTTGCAGGGGCCACTGGACACTTGGGCGGCCATTGCAACGCTGAGTGAATAAACGATTACAGGCAGCGTGCTATAATGTGCCCCAGAAATCAGGCTTACTCTACAGCCATCACTGCCGTGAGCACAATTAGCCGCCACTTGTGCTCTGCATCGTCCTAGTGCCCAATCCACCGGCCCGAGCGCTCAGCTTCAGTCCTCGCTCGCGTCCGTGGGGCAGCAGCCAAGCGGCGAGCGGTGACGGAGACCCGCCCTCACGTCGAGCGGCGAGCGGCGGCGCCGACGGCGACCCACGCCCGCGTTCATGGAGCAGCAGAGGTGGAGCGGCGCGGCGGCAGCAGGGTGCAGAAGACGTGGTGCGTCGTGTGCTCAGGGAAGAGCAATTTTTTTATTTTTTGATGTAGGAAGAGCAGTTTCTTTTTTAGCCTAGGGAAGGGCAGTTTGATGACAACGAAGGGGTATGGTGGGATTAGTGGGCGATAGATGCGATGAGTGGGATTCGTGGCTTGTTGTGTTAAACACGGAAATGTTTTCAACCTTTAGATCGCACGGATAGACGGTTGAGATTGTTTGGATCTGCCTCTCTCATTATTTTATAGTGGTAGTAGATAGATAGATAGTAGATAGTAGATAAAGCTATTTTATCTCAAAAAAAGATAAAGCTATTTAAAAAAAAGAATGACTTGCGAGCAGCCGATCAGATCTCCACCGTCGTCGTCGTCTCCCTCCCAATCTCTCTGATCCCCATAACTCTCGCACGCACGCACACCCGTCTGGCTTCCCCTCGCCAACTCCAATCCCATCCCATTGCGCAGGCAGGCAGGCAGGCCGCCGACCGCCGCCGCGCGCGAGATCGGACGCCTCCACCACGACCCCCCGGCTCCGCAGCCGGAGGCGGCGACCGGTGCGTGTTTGGCAGGTAGGCTCGCCGGGGCGATATGAGCGGGCACGACTCCAAGTACTTCTCCACCACCAAAAAGGGGGAGATCCCCGAGCTCAAGGAGGAGCTCAACTCCCAGTACAAGGTCACCCTCCTTGCCTCGCCGTCTCTCCCCTGTCTATCTTCTTGTGTGATTTGCTGTGCCCGAGGATCGATTGGCCCGGATCCAGATCTGGCCAGGGTGTTGGGTGCCCACGCGCGGGCGGTTTGAGATCTGCGAGTTTTGGTTGGTATCCCACGGGATTAGGTTCTGTTCCGAGGATTGGAATTTGCGGCAGAGTGACGATCTCGGGGTCATTTTCTTCAACAAAATGTACTTAAATGTGCCGAATTCAGTTCAGACGGATTTGAGTTTGAATTGCTTTGGAGCGAGATGAATGCACTGAGTTCTGATCCATTTCGGGGCTTTTCAGTGAAAGCAAGATTAAATCGAATATAGTGACTGCTCGATGTCTGGTTAGCCAAGCTCTCGAGGGTAAATGAATACCTTTTGAATAAGGTAGTAATTTTGGAGTTATGTGCGGGGCCGGGCATTACCTCCATCTAGTTTATTTTTTATCTTCATGGCTCCAGATATGCATCAATATGCATTGGTGTAGCTGTAGAAATGGCACTTCGCTGCTGATAAAAAGGTGTTTATCCTTTATATTTATCTATGCCATCTTTGCGGTTTTCTGCACATGGTTAAAACAGAAAGGTACTCCCTCCGTAAAGAAATATAAGAGCACATCTTAGGCTCTATCACTTCTCCATGTTTTGCAAGCAAGACATGCTACATCATTTTGATTTGGTGGTCTAGTGGTTTTAAGACGCCATCTCTAGCCCCCGGTCACAAAATATTCTGTCACCGTTCTGGCTACATTTTGCAGCGCTGCACGTTTGCTGTAAAATCCATGTTCTAATGCATAATTAATGAACATTTGTACCATATCAGTCTTTAATATGAAATATTCTCAGCGATGAAGTATGCCATGTAGCAAGAATGGTTGGACTATATACTGTTGTCAGTCATTCACCAGCCATAGATCCCATTTCTGTTTTCTAGTTTTAACGCAAGAATAAATGATGTAAGACCATATTATGTGTTCACTTCTGGCATCTGAGGCTTTGGTGGAAACATGGTTTGCAGGACAAGAGAAAAGATGCTGTCAAGAAAGTGATTGCAGCGATGACCGTTGGAAAAGATGTCTCATCACTGTTTACGGATGTCGTGAACTGTATGCAGACTGAGAACTTGGAGCTGAAAAAACTAGTATATTTGTATCTCATCAACTATGCTAAAAGTCAACCAGATCTAGCGATACTTGCCGTGAACACATTTGTTAAGGTGAGAAATTATAACCATATTACTACTAATGAACATTTATGCAGAAAAATAAAGCTATAACATGTGTGAAAGAAACCGTGCAGAAGCAGCAACTAATAAGAAGATTCAAAACTTTTGCAGGATTCACAAGATCCAAATCCGCTGATCCGTGCTTTGGCTGTGAGGACAATGGGTTGCATCCGTGTAGACAAAATCACAGAGTATCTGTGTGACCCTCTTCAAAGATGCCTCAAGGTGTATATTGGTGTTTGTACACTCCTTTAAAAAAAACTGTCTCCCATTGAATTAAGCCTATACTTGTGTCTTGAATTTTTTCACAGGACGATGATCCATATGTGCGGAAGACAGCGGCTATTTGTGTTGCTAAGCTTTATGATATAAATGCTGAGCTAGTGGAGGACAGAGGATTTCTAGAGGCCCTCAAAGACTTAATTTCTGACAACAATCCTATGGTGGTTGCAAATGCTGTTGCTGCTCTGGCAGAGATTCAAGACAGTAGTGCTCGTCCGATCTTTGAGATCACCAGCCATACATTGACAAAGCTTCTGACTGCTCTGAATGAATGCACAGAGTATGATGCAGTTTTTGCTATATTGGGTTCTGAACCCCCATATTTTTCTAGAGTAAGCTGCTTATCATATTTGATAATTTTGCAGGTGGGGACAAGTTTTCATTCTTGATTCTCTGTCAAGGTACAAAGCAACAGATGCAAGGGACGCAGAAAATATAGTGGAACGAGTTACACCCCGTCTTCAACATGCAAACTGTGCAGTTGTTCTTTCTGCTGTCAAGGTACATTAGCCTGATTCACATGTACTAGAACACAGTAAAGTTTTAGAAAGTGCTGCATGCAGTTGTGTATGTGGTATTCGTTAACCATAGATTGGCACAGTGCCATGTGTACTTGTATTGATCTGTCAGGCCTGAACAGGGGCGCTGCCAGTTCTCACTGCATGGGTAGCAGGGTAAGGAAAAACATATCTGCAAGTACCCAAATAAGACATACTCATATTGTTTATTTATGGGCTCATTTAACTAGGTAATAAAGTTTTTTCTTTCATCTTAAATGTATCCTCATAAATCATAGGAAGAACAAATGGACTGTGGCATTGGATTGATTTTCATGTTCCTGACCTTTTAGTCGGAGGATGATACATATCCATTTAAGTTGGAATGCTGGTTCTGGTACTATTCAAGACAGCAGTTGCTGTTTGTTTTTGATTTTGCAGTAAGAGTTAACCTGTTGGTTGTCTCTTTCACACAGATAATCCTTCTACAAATGGTGCTCATTACAAGCACTGATGTTGTCCGGAATCTCTGCAAGAAAATGGCACCCCCTCTGGTTACTCTACTGTCGGCAGAGCCCGAGATTCAGTATGTAGCATTGAGAAATATCAATCTGATTGTTCAAAAAAGGCCTACAATACTTGCACATGAAATTAAGGTGACATTTGTTTGTCTTCGAGCTATTCTTATTCATCAATCAATCATGCCAGTGTTTCTGTAACTCAATAGTATTTTTGGCAATAGGTCTTCTTTTGCAAGTACAATGACCCAATATATGTCAAGATGGAAAAGTTAGAGATTATGATAAAGCTTGCGTCAGATAGGAACATTGATCAGGTACATAATTTTCTTTCTTATGTACTAATTTACTGTTGTGGTTATGATGTTGACTTGAGTGGAACAATATTTCTAGCTACTGCCTTGTGTTATTATATTCCTGTCTCATACATAACAGAATTAGAAATTGTAAATAAAACTCCGTAGGAACAGAAGTCCATCACTTCAAGTGTGAATCTTACCATAGTTAAATTTATTAAGCATCTTGTTCATTTCTGATTATAGTACTAGATCTGTTTTCTACAAGTTGCCATCCAGAAGTTGACTGAGCTCGTTATAGGTACTATTGGAGTTCAAAGAATACGCCACAGAGGTGGATGTTGACTTTGTGAGGAAAGCTGTACGTGCGATTGGAAGATGTGCAATTAAATTGGAGAGAGCTGCTGAAAGGTGCATCAGTGTCTTGCTTGAGCTGATCAAGATAAAGGTTAATTATGTCGTACAAGAAGCTATCATTGTCATCAAAGACATCTTTAGACGCTATCCTAACACGTGAGTGGTTTGCCTGGAAGCTCAACATTCTATGTTTTTGGAACTACAGAGCTCTTCTTTTGTGCTCAGCATATGTTTTTGTAAAAAAGTAACCTTTTTCTTGCCAAAATATGCAGATATGAGTCTATCATCGCAACACTGTGTGAAAGTTTGGACACTTTAGATGAACCAGAGGCTAAGGTATTGTCTATGAACGGTCTTTGTAATTTCTTGCATGTTTTGTTCACTTGCATGTTATTTTCTTATACAGGCATCAATGATTTGGATAATTGGAGAATATGCCGAAAGAATTGACAATGCTGATGAACTCCTTGAGAGTTTCTTGGATACATTCCCAGAAGAACCAGCATTAGTTCAACTGCAGTTGCTAACAGCGACTGTTAAGTTGTTTCTTAAGAAGCCAACTGAGGGGCCCCAGCAGATGATACAGGTTACTATTCTCAGTTCCTGTGTTTACTCTTGCAGATGATAGATACACTAAATTGCGGAGCAAAGAATAACTTTTGGCATGATGTAAGAGTCTTTGAATATCTCCTTATTTGATACCATGGCATGTCATGGTGTTCAAAAAGGCTTGTTGAAATCTTTACAGCATTGAGCATACCTTGAATTGTGTTGCAACATTAATAATTAGAATAGTCAAATTTTTGGGTTGAGAACAAGAATGTTTGGTTCATAAGGGTACACTATATTCAAATTTCTCTTAGCTGAATGAATGAATAATGGCTTTATTCCAATAGAATGTATGTCCTGTCCCTAACAAATTCTGTTTAATAACTTTATGCGCCACAGTTTTCTGCCTAATCTGCATCATTTCTGTAGGCTGTTCTCAATAATGCAACAGTCGAAACAGACAATCCTGATCTGCGTGATCGAGCTTACATATACTGGCGACTTCTTTCTACTGATCCTGAGGTATTGAAAGTTTACACTTCACACCTTCCTATCCTTTGTTTGTCAGATATCCCTGTGACCACTGGGTATGTGTGTGGCTTTGACAGGCAGCAAAAGATGTTGTTCTGGCAGAGAAGCCTGTGATCAGTGATGACTCTAACCAGCTTGACTCTTCGCTTCTTGATGAATTATTAGCAAACATTTCTACATTATCATCAGTTTATCACAAGCCCCCAGAAGCCTTTGTTAGCCGTGTTAAGGCAGCTCCTAGGGTGGATGATGAGGAGTTTGCTGATGCTGGAGAAACTGGGTATTCGGAGTCACCATCTCAGGGACTGGATGGGGCATCACCGTCCTCTAGTACTGGCAATTCATCAAATGTACCAGTGAAGCAGCCGGCAGCTGCAGCCCCAGCAGTTGCTGCTCCGATCCCAGATCTCCTAGGTGATTTAATGGGTTTGGATAATGCCCTGGTTCTTGTTGACGAGCCTACAGCATCTTCAGGGTCAGCAAAACTTTTTATTGTTTTTGCTCCAAGTTTTAGTTTGATATTTTATTCATGTTATACGGATCGAGCCAGTTTTTCTCCAGTTTGACTTTTCTGATTGTTTTCCCTGCAGACCTCCACTGCCTGTTGTATTGCCTTCAACCACTGGCCAAGGTCTCCAGATCAGTGCGCAACTGGTGCGACGGGATGGCCAGATATACTATGATATATCTTTTGAGAATGGGACCCAGGGTGTATTAGATGGATTTATGATTCAGTTTAACAAGAACACATTTGGTCTTGCAGCCGGTGGACCACTTCAGGTGCAAGGATGTCTATATTTTGTTAGTTCTGTTTCTAGATTTCAGTTTCTTGTACTGAACTTGGTGTCGGTTGATGAATAAGGTTCCTCCACTCCAACCTGGGTCCTCAGCCAGGACGCTCCTAGCTATGGTTTTCTCCCAGAATGTCTCCCCTGGAGCACCAAACTTGCTACTGCAGGTTGCAGTGAAGAATAATCAGCAACCTGTGTGGTATTTCAGTGACAAAGGTTCGCTCCATGTCTTCTTTGGTGAAGATGGCAAAATGGAGCGAACGGGTTTTCTCGAGGTAAAATCTACTACGAGTAAATCTTTTCTTCTCGGTAGTTGCTGTCCTAGTTGTTTTGATTCGCTTAGCTGTTTGGTTTTGGTCTGTTGGCCTTAGGGCTTGTAGAGAACGCCTGTGGCGAGTGAGTACTCTTCCGCTATTATATCCTTCTTGTTAATCTGTAGTTTGAATTGGTTAAATCTGACTGCAGGCCTGGAAATCTTTACCTGATGACAATGAATTTTCAAAAGAATACCCCAATTCTGTCATCAGCAGCATAGATGCCACCGTTGAACACCTTGCAGCATCAAATGTGTTCTTTATTGCCAAACGGAAAAATGCAAACATGGACGTGCTGTATCTGTCTGCGAAGATCCCCCGTGGGATTCCATTCCTGATAGAGCTTACTGCTGCTGTTGGTGTTCCTGGTGCCAAGTGTGCAGTCAAGACTCCAAACAGGGAGTTTGTGCCTCTATTCTTTGAAGCCATGGAGTCTCTTATCAAGTAAGTGACGGAAACTTGAGGATCGGTATTCCATCAAAGTTATTCAGTTATGAGCATACACTGGTGTGCTGTTCCATGGAAGTGTGAATTGTATTGTGTTGTTATTGTATCACTATTAGATCACCGTATTTAAACTGTTAGTTTCTTGGTTTCAGAATTTTCCTCTAGGGATACACAACCTGGACATTTTGTGCCGCATAAATTGTATATCGGCCTGAACATTTTTTCTTGCCATGTCACAGCACATGAAAATACGTCTTGTTTCTTTTTGATTTGACGAGTAAACATGACCTTTTTTGACGGCAGAGTCAACACACATGTAATGTCACTATATATATATACAATATCTAAGCTCCCTCGAAATTTAGCGCTGTGAGCGCTCCGGGGCTGGGATGGTAAGTGACCATGTCTCTTATTTTTGTAGAAAAATCACTTTGATTTTCTTAGAAAAATCATGGTCTTTTTATTAGGTAAGTAGGTATTGTTTTTTCTTGAACACAGTACAATTTGCTCATCCATATGAATGCATGCACACACCATATCCCTATGTGTACCTTTGAGAGACTGAGTCGGTATGTCATCTTGAGATTGACGAAGTCTTCACAAATGCCTTTGTAGTTGATGGAAACGTCTCTTTTCATTGAACGCACATCGTTGAAAGGTTTGGATATATTAGGTACTCCCTGCGGTCCTTTTACTCCACATATTAGGGTTATATCAAGTCAAATTTTACAAAGTTTGACCAAATTTATATTAAGAAAATCAACACCTACACTACGAAATCTATATACTATGAAACTACATTTCGTAATGAATCTAACAATGTTGATTTAACACTAACAATGTTCATTTTACATTATGAATGTTGATCTCTATAAGTTTGGTCAAAGTAGAGATACTTTGACTTTGAACAAAACTTATATGCAGACTAAAAGGACCGGAAGGAGTATTGTTTACTATTTGGCTCAACCATCTAACTACTTCCTCCGTTCGGAATTACTTGTCTCGGAAATGGATATATCTAGAACTAAAATACATCTAGATACATTCATTTCTGCGACAAGTAATTCCGAACGGAGGGAGTACATGTGTTCAGCACTTGTGTGTTACGTGTATCCCTGAACTAAAACCACAACTAAACTAAAATCATAACATTTATTTTAGATCAGAGAAACTACTTTTTTGTGAGAGAAAAAAGGGTTACATGTTGCTCATGTACATCTGGTACGAAGGAAATTAATGTTGCGGCCAATTATGTCCACGCCTATAAAAATGATGTATAATTGCATAGTGGCACGGTCATCGCCAGCTTGGCCCATAACCGCCTCCTTTGTGTCACGTGGCTGCGTGGATGCTATCAATCCATCACCACACCGCATGCCCCGCCCATCTCCCCATCTTTCTTCCCTTCTCTTATGTCGGTATGTTCGAGTCATCATCGCCTCCTCCGCACGATACGGTTGCACAGGCAGCCGACCCATCACCTGCTCCTCCGTATCATATGGTTGCATGGGTGTCGCCAGTCCATCACCGCTTCCTCCGCACGACATGGTTGCATGGGAGTCAGTCCCACACTGCCTTCTTCGCACACAAGGCTGCACGGGCTTTGCCTGTCCACCACCACACTGCATACCTCGCCCATCGCTCCATCTTTCTCCCCTTCTTTTGTGCGGTAATTAACATCCAACGACAACGACGCTCGGGGCCTAGAGATGATTACCGTCTTCGGAACTTGGTCGTCTTCATCAACACGCCATGCCCCACAAGGTCTGCAGTACAACTCTCGATACCTCCTTCCTCTTCCTCTGTCATCCTTCTTTGGTGGGACAAATGCATTTTTGCCCCTAGTAGGAACCTACCCACGGGGTTTGCTCTTACTTTTCGACTCTGCTCAGATTTGCCTTTGAGGTCGCCCGGATGCCCTTTGACCATTTGACCAATACTTTGAAAATGCATAACAAATTCACATGACTCAGAAAAATGCAAATAAGATAGCCAAATGTTCAGATAAGCATTACCTTTATGTGCATGTCATTTGCATTCATGACAGAAGTACCGTTTAAACTACTCGAGGTTATTAATGTTATTATGTATAAACAATACCTTTTCATGAATAAAAATTACATGCAAATGTAGGTGATGTTTTCTGAACATTCTGGGATCTTATTTGCATTTTTATGAGTTCATATGAACTTGTGATGAAGTTTCAAAATGATGGTCAATGTCGATTGAACATTCATAACAAGTTGACATGAACTTCGAAAAATGCAAATAAGTTATACGGATGTTTAGAAAACATCAGCTACATTTACATGCATTGTTTCTTCATGAAAAAGCTATTGTTTATACCTTTTCATTTTAATAATGTTAATAACATTAATAAGGTCAAGTAGTTTAAATGGTGCTTTTGTCCTGAATGCAAATGATATGCGCATAAAGGTAATGTTTATCTAAATATTTTGATATCTTATTTGCATTTTTTTGAGTTTATATGAATTTGTTACGATTTCTCAAAGTATTTGTCAAACGGTCAAAGGGCATTTGGGCAACCTCAGGGGCAAATCTAAGTGGAGTCGAAAAGTAAGGGCAAACCCCGTGGGTAGGTTCCAACTAGGGGCAAAAATGCATTTGTCCTTTCTTTGGCAGCCTGATTCAAATTCAATCTTGATCGCTTCAGTGCTAAACAGGTAGCAGATTATACCGGGATTTTATCTCACCGTGTGAAGTTTCAATTTGAAAGCCTCATGCTTCACTGCTTAAGTACCATCTCCGTGCTTGTGGATTAACAACCTCACGCAATTTATACATGGCATGCTTTATGCTGCCTCTGTTCAACGGTGCAGTGCATATTAGCTTTTTTAAAGTCAAAGATGTCCATTGGCCAAGTTTCTAGAAGAAACTATCAATATCTAAAGTATTAAATAAATAAACTATAACTGTACATGTGGATGCTGATTTTTTAAAACTTGGTCAAACACTGGTATGTTTGACTTTTCAAAACAAAGTATGTACTATATTTTAGAATGGAGGGAGTATTAATTAGGATATGGTTCCAAGCCTAAGGAGCACGCGGTCTGTAACTGAATTTAATTGGCACTAAAACAATAAGACAAGATGATAACTAGGTCTTCCTATGAAGATAATTTGGTTAATTGTCATAGGTTGCTTATGAAGGGGAACGTTGCATGAAAATCAAATTTTTTTCCTACGAAACACCCAAGATCCAATTAGGAGATGCATAACTACGAGAGGGGAGTGTGTCTACATACCATTGTAGACCGAAAGCGTTAGCGCTGTAACGCGGTTGATGTAGTCGTACTCTTTGCGATCTAATCACGATTCAATCCGATCTAGTGCCAAACGGATGGCACCTCTGAGATTAGCGCACATTCAACTTGATGGCGTCCTCTCCTTGATCCAGCAAGCGAGGGAGAGGAGGTAGATGAGATCAGAACCAACACGACGGCATGGTGATGGTGGCAGCAACGGAATTCTGGCAGAGCTTTGCCAAGTGTGTACCAGAGGAATATGGGAGGAGTTGGGAGAGGTAATGGGCAAGTCTGGAAGGGTGGCTGCCCCCTGCGGCGGCCAAGGGAGGAATCCCTCCCCACAAGGCAAGGGGGAGGTGCCTTCTCCACTTGTGACTCTTCCCATATGGGCCAAAGGGGTTGGTGCGCCTGGCCTAGCAGGGCTAGGACACCCCCCTACGACCCAAGTTGGCCCTTGGGACGTGGTAGAACCATCCATAGATTTCCGAACCCCTCCGGAATTCTCTGGAACCTCCAGGAAGCTTCCCGGTACAATACCAAAAAACCTGAACTTCTTTCGGAACCCAAAATATGACTTCCCGTATATAAATCTTTACCCCCGGACCATTCTGGAGCTCCTCGTGATGTCCAGGATCTCATCCGAGACACCGAACAACCTTTGGACTTTCTGCTATTAATATCTCAATACTACCCTAGCGCCATCAAACGTTAAGCGTGTGACCATACGGGTTCGGGAACATGCAGACATGACTGAGACACCTCTCTGGCCAATAACCAATAGTGAAACCTGGATGCCCGTATTGGTTCCTACATATTCCAGAAAGATATTTTATAGGTTGAACCATGATGTCGAGGATTTGGTTAATCCCGTATGCAATTCCCTTTGTCTAGTGACATGTTACTTGCCTGAGATTCGATTGTCGGTATCTCCATACCTAGTTCAATCTCGTTACTGGCAAGTCTCTTTACTCGTTCCGTAATGCAAGATCCCGCGACTAAACCCATTAGTCAGATGAAGCTTCTTATGATGTTGAATTACCGAGAGGGCCTAGAGATATCTCTCCATCACACGGAGTAACAAATCCGAGTCTCAATCCATGCAACCCAACAAACACCTTCGAAGATACCTATAGAGCACCTTTATGATCACCCAATTATGAAGTGAAGTTTGATAGCACACAAGGCATTCCTCCAGTATACGGGAGTAGCATGATCTCATGGTCGAAGGAACAAATACTTGACATGAAGAAAGCTATAGCAAATAACTAAATGATCTGATGCTAAGCTTACGGCTACACATCCCCCTCCTAATGATGTGATCCCATTATCAAATGACAACTCATATCTATGGTCAGGAAACCATAACCATCTTTGATCAATGAGCTAGTCTAGTAAAGGCTTACTAGGGACATGGTGTAGTTTACATATTCACACATGTATTTAAGTTTCCGGTCAATACAATTCTAGCATGAATAATGGACATTTATCATGAACGGAAAATATGATAATAACCAATTTATCATTGCCTCTAGGGCATATTTCCAACAGTCTCACACTTGCACTAGAGTTAATAATCTAGCTTACATAGTAATGAATCTAACACCCATGGAGTCCTGGTGCTGATCATGTTTTGCTCGTGGAATAGGTTTAGTCAACGGGTCTACCACATTTAGATCCGTATGTACTTTGCAAAGTTCTATGTCACCATCCTTTTTTTGACGAGAAGTTCTATGTC